ACGGGACTTTGGTTCTTGTTCTTGCGGTATGTGTCTTCGTTTTCAATATTTGTGATGTCAAACCTAGTTGAACGAACAGAATTTGATGTCTGTGGTTCGACAACGATCAAGTCAGTGTAGTATTCTAGACTGATGTCATCATCAAAATACTTTATGTTTATATACGAAATGAATATACAGAAACAACAGGACATCTACATTATATTCGTTGTTATTCAAAACTAAGTGCTTATCTTCTTTCGCTAAACATAAAAGTCAACCAATTTCAAAACTTATAAAATGGTTAAAATATGTTAAATTGAAAAAAGTAAAATATTGTACATATTTAGTATTTGGCAGATATCACTTGTGGTGCTAGTTTTTGTCAATATTATTATTCTTTTGTAACTTTGAATGAAATCAGGAAGCCTAAATACATTATTAATATTAAGCTAAAAAAATTTTTGAATTGAATTTGATACGAAACATTTATAAAATTTGTATTTCAAATTTGTTGTTTGTAATTCAATCAATATCGGTTAATAAATGTATTTTATATTGTTTTACATAACGATATATTCTAGAGTACTCTAGATTCTTTGGTAAAAGTAGTTTTCCAATTGTAAATTGTGTATATTGAGATCGTTGACATGAGTGAAACATAAATAAATGAGTATGATTCCTAAAACCATGAAATGCCCTACAAAATCATTTGGGAAGTATATTCTATCACTTTAAAATTGTTGAATTATTAATAATTTAGCGGTTAATTTATCTAACATTATAATTTTTAATAGTGACTATATTTCTTCACTAATCGTCTTATAAAAACTTTATTTAATTATATTTTTTCAAACATTTGAAAGTGCATAACTATATAAACAACTATAGATTATACATTATGTTAAATTGAAATAGAATGCAAAAAAACTTAACACTGAGAGCTAAGAAAATGTGAAAAAAATTGTAGTTTCATTTCTAAGTTATAATCAGCAGCTCCACTACGATGTTAAGGAGATAAAAAACAAAATTGTAACAACACCAAAACCACATTAGGGGTATTCAGGCATTTGATTAGTTGCTTAGTTGATTCAAAAACTTCATATAAAAAAAATTTAGTATTTTGATGTTAATCAGTTGCTTGAACGACCCAAAATGCGTAATCTGATTAGTTTGTTGTGTGTAAATGCCTTGGCAGCACTCGCATCAACAGCAAACGTGAAACATACTTGTGTTTGCAAAATTGTTTACACACAATTCAAACAGCTGAGAGAGACAGCTAACAAATTTCTATACAAAAGTTCATTTTAAGTTATTATTACAACATTTGGTTATTATTACAACACTTGGTATTATTAATTAATTCATTTGCTGGAGAGCTTTCGAAAAGTAGTGAACTACAACAACTTTTTTTTTTATGATTTTAATTAATTGAAAATTTGGTTAACCATACAACTGTTTCGAATATTGCCAAGCACTCATCATCAGTGATCTTGATCTTATTCAATAATCTTCTTCTATTTAATTATTCATAAATTATTTTTTTGAGACTGCAAATACCACGGGTTGAACTCGTGCCTTGCTAAATTTGAAGCTCAGAGTCAGCGCACCTTAACCAAGTGACCCAATGCCGTGTATGACGTATATGTTCGAAGTTGGAGTTTTGTTAATTTGCTGTGAAAGTTCATTAACAAATTCACTTGCTGTATTATATTAGAATAAAATCATAAACCAGCTGTACTGTAGAATAGTTAAATTAATTCATTCTACGTTAATAGATATGATAAAGAATCTTATTCTGGGATTTAGAGATCACATCCATATCTCGACTAAAATTATTAAGACACCCCTATATGCTTCTCCATGATTTTGTAAAATTTTTGGAAATGGAATCACCTCTCACCGCTTGTCACAGCCAGTCACTGCTTGTGTATGTTTTTTGTAAAAGGAAACCCAGTATACCATAGTATGTGTTTACATGCAGTATGATTTATATTTATATGTTAAAACATATGTACATATATGCATGGAATCAGTTTTTGCATGATATTATAGAAAGTACTAAACTATTTTATTAAAAAAACCACACAACGAAATAAATCATTTAGAATGCCGTTCGTCATAATTTGTCTCTGCATAAATGTTTTGCACGAGTCGAAAATGTAAAAGGGGCCGTTTGGACTGTAGACGAAATCGAATTTCATAAGCGGCGTCCACAACGTTCCTCTATATCATCAACAATACCTACATCTACTAGTTTGGCGTTCGGGTACGACAACATTCTGAAATATCACTTTTTTAAATATTACCTTAGTAGGAGTACTCATTTTTAGTACTAATTCAATTTATTCTTCGATAATCTTTTGTTATAAAAAAGCTAAATTTTATTTTTTAAACTTCGAAAAGTTTTTTTAATTGAATAATAAATAAAAGTTTTTGTATGTAGCCGGGAGACGCACATATTTGTATTAAAATTTTGAAAACTACTATATCGGTACTTAAAACAGTACTTTTTGAGTTGCTGATTATTATCTTGAAAAATGAGTTTTAAAATGAGTATATAATAAGCAAGTAAATACACAAAACGTAAATGTATTTCATTTTCAATGAATAAATCACTAGTAATTGTTATTTGATAATGTTTTTTTTCACTGATTTCGTCGTTAGAGTCAGTCAGAGAAAAAAACAAAATGTACAGTGCGTTAAGTTTATCATATATCCTTTAAACTCACGAAATAAATTACTTAATTTATTTATGTTTATTTGATAAACACAGTTGCAAACAGATTCAACTGTAGGTATCTGTCAAATATGTATGGATCTGTACGACATGGAGGGATACCTGAAATTCGTTCAATCAAAATGTGTAAAACATTTTCAAACAAATAAATACAATATCATCAAACATATGAAATGTATGAAACGAAAAACTCATCGTAAGGAGAGTAATGAACTTGGTGATGAAGTTAACAATATAAAGGTGCATCCACATTGAAGCGAACGATTGCGAACAAACGAACTTTTGCAGATACAACTATCTGCGAATTTTCGTTCGTTCGCAAGCGTTCGTTTTATATGGCGTTTACATGGGCCGAAAGTGAGCCATTTGGAAGTGTTTACGGTCGTTGTAATTCGTTTGTTCTCATTTCAAACAGCTGATTTTTCAACTTGCCCGTTGATTTGATTTTTGGCCTGTGCCAAAAAATGTTGTATGAAGGTTAAATATACCTTCAAACCTTAAAATATATACTAAAACATATTTTTAACTTCGATTAAATACTTTTTGAGAAGTAGAAGTTCTAAAAAGAGGTGAATCGTTTTCAAGAAAATGCAACCACCAAACCTTTTTTTGTAAAATATATTTACCTTTTTTTGTAAATATATCAAAAACAGCTTTCTCAAACTGTCAAAATGCCATGAAGAGCTTTTATTTAGGGTATTATCAATGTATTCCTTTGTATTTGGAACATATTTGAACGCATTTGAACGTCGTTGGGACGCATTCATACAGAATGTGGTGAAATGGATCGCATTCGCGCTTGAAATTTTGTATGCAAGAATGAGCCATTCGCTTCTCATTTTCAATTTTTGACCAAAATGAGCCATTTTCGGTCAGTGTACGTGCCGTATTAGTATGGATGCATCTTACCGTGACAACAACATTATACATTTACAGGGCAATTCTGACAAAGATCGTTAAAAGTCTTGTGTAAGATCTTTGTAAGAGATCTTTGTTAGATTTTAGCTATTCTGGCACAAAAGTCTTTAAAAAAAGTTTTATCATTTGCAATTCGTGGTAATATAGAAAGCTGTTTTGTTCCATTTCTTTTATGGTGAAATGAAAAACAGCTACTAATCACTACCAAATAAATAATTAAATTTTAATACAAATGTAATGGAAAGCCGCAAGATGTACGTTCTATTATTATTACTATTATTTATACATAAATAATTATTTACGGAATTTATCTCATGTCAAAAAAGAATTAATAGCAGCTCTTACTGCATTAACTGAAGCAGTGGCAAAAAAAATTAATTAGTTCTGAAATTATAGCTTAAATATATATAATTAAATAAATAAATCAATATTAAAATATTATTAAATATTAAAATTTAAATATATATATACTACATTATACATGCATAAATATATAAAATATATATTTTCAAATATTTTTATAGATATTTTAAACGATCTTTCACAACAGTTTTGAGTATGTTGACCTAGAAGATCGTTCCCAGAATTGCCCTGTAAGAGTAGTACTACATTACCACCACATTGAACAAATACTTTATTTGCTTAGTATATACGATGGATTTCTACTAATTTTTAATATATTCTGTATGATATATTCTAATACTCGATTCATATGAGAGTTTTGTTTGTAATTTTAGCTGTCAAAAATTTTCATGTTGCATTGAAAGCAACAACAATTGATGGCTAAAATTCCAAACACGACAACTAAAATTACAAACAAAATTTTTGTGTGAATCCAGTATAAGCTTATGATATTCATATTTACAGCAATCAGCTGCTCGAAGTACTGCATAATCAAAATATAATCAATGTAGTTTAAAAACTAATATATTATTATAAGCATTTTTAAATTTAGCTATTTAATATATACCGAATCTAAATAGTAAGGAGCTAATACAATGTGTGATTTCCGGATTTATTGGGCCTTGATTTTTTCGCTTATATTAAAATTATAAATATAAATATATCTAAATCACATCAAATTTTCATAATTCAAATTTTTTCAAATTTTTTATTAGTTTTCACTTAAAATTTTTTTATAATCTTATATAACTGTCTTTTACTTATTCCATTATTTCTTACTTATTGTATAATAGTCGTTTTTAAATCCAATTTATTGAACTTTATTAATAACAAAACTTTTAAATATTTTTATATCTTACTATACTTTATTTGTTTTCTCAATCCACTCTCATCATTATGTTTTGGAATAATATAATAATTATTATATACAAACTGACAAATTATAATGCCTTAACGCTAGAATGCCATACGTACAAATCTGTCACTGCATAAATGTTTTGTGCGGTATGAGGATGACTTTGGCTCCTTTTGGATGGTAGATGATAGTGAATTTATAAAACGGCGTCATTTATCACGTGGCCGTCCACGCAAATATGAGCCATCTTCATCGCCACATTCGTCGAATACTTCTCCGCAATCTGCTACTAACACAGAAAGTATTTGCGAAAATAGTTCAAAAATGAGATACCAGGATCGTATTCATAGCAATACGAATGCTATTTGGAATACTGGGGGAGATCTTAGTTCCACTAAAAGTCAAAATATGCAAAATAGTTTCGATTGCAATACTATTGAAAATGGCGATAGTGATAGCTTCAGTATCTGCAAGAGAAGCCAAAGAAATCTGAGCACAAACAATATACAAAACAATCAATATGACTTCAAAAATGGCATTGTAGCTGAAAGTAACATTACTGGTAAACAGCAAAATAAAGGCAATACCGAAAGCATTTTAGAAGAAAAACAAGGCAGTAATGATAACTTCGCGATTATTGATGATAGGAATGAAGACTGCGCTTCAAAAGGATGCAGCATGCGGTAAGTTATTTGGTTATCTGGATAAACCATACTTATATATTAACATAACGTAAGGTAAGTAACCATAGATACTATAATTTGTGAACTTACATGTGTAAGAGTAAATATGTATAATGACTTATAAAAGCATACAACAATATAATACCTGACAAAAGAATCCTTTTAAAATACCATGAAATTTAACATTGATGTTGAACATACTTTCTATAAAAGTTTCCGCAAAAATATAATTTGATTCTGCTGAAATTGTCTTATTGTACTAACATACTGAAGCTAGAAGATTTGGTTATTATACATGACTTGAGGTTATTTTAGACAGTACATTGCTTCAGTGCGGTTGGTATTCTATGTTGAAGTTTTACTAAACTAGATATTCTACTCTCACTAATAAATCTTTAATAAACTTGTCTTATATGGCATTTACACTGGCTTCAAATTACTCGATTTGGTCAAAAATCAAAAATAAGAAGCAAATGATTCATTTTTGCATACAAAATCTCAAACGTAAATGAGATCCATTAAATCTCATTCTGTATAAATGGTCTATTCCACGAACTACTCGTAGTAACATTGAGCAACACTGTTTATACACAAGTGCGTTCCACCAGCTTATTTTCGAGTAAATGAGAGCATCTGAGACACCGTAACATCAAATAAAATTTTGTTGATGTGTGAATCAGCTGTTTTGGTTTGAATTTAAATTTTTGTGTTGTTTATTTGCGCGGCACTGGTATTCTCACCAGACTTTACACAAAGCTGTTCCATGAAAATATGTGTAAAGAGCGTAATTTGGCACTTTATTTGTATTCCGCTCTCAGTTTGCATTTTGCTTGTGTTTTACTTGAGTTCAACTACTAGTCACTAGTGGAACAGACTCATTATGTTGTTGCATCTTATCGTCATTTCTAAATGCTTACATTTTGTTTGACGGTATCCTGCGAAATTTACACTTTGTTTGCTTGCCAAAAAACTAAAAAAATTTAAATATTATGCATTTGAAACGATGTTGCGTGTATATATTCGCCCATCGAGTGTATACTATTGCCTACTTACATACGCTATTTGTACGAACTCATACGCACCACACAAATGATTTATAACTACAGCCATAGTCAAAAGTATTTACACAACGAAAGTTTTTGTACATATTGTATAAAAACATGAGGGGTATTCACTCTCTCTTGCAAACTCATTGCAAGGTGTACGAAATGCACAGATTGTATGAGAATGCAAATAACAACAACAAAATACACGCACAAAATTTCGTGCAATTGCGTGCAATCTTCCACTACTAAAACCTATGTATATTTGCTTGCAACAAAACAGAAATGGCAGAAATCAGCTGTTTTGACATTTGTTGCTTCTCATTTTTAAATTTGAATTGACGGTTAGTAAAATTTCGAGATATGTTAATTTATGGCTATGCTATATACATGCGTTTCGTTCAATAATTTAAAACGATGTGGCCATTAATTAAGTTTTCACAAATATAATATTATATACATACACATTTGTGAATTAATTTATCTACTTATCAATTTCAGCGAAACTTACAAAAATTTGTCCACATTTTGAACTATTGAATGAAGTGTTTGGACGCATGTCTAATTTTCAGCCACTTGTGATATGTACAGACACATTGCCACAGCCACCAGCTAGTTCTGCACTAGGCGACGAAATTTATTTTATTGAATCGTCTGCAGACAACACATCATCCAGCTCTGCACCGAAAGTCGTGGGTTCTGCTGTGCAAAGCCCCACTACCCCCTCGATAAAAAATATAACAAATAACAATAATAAATTAAGAATTAGTTATATTTTTATTATACTAATTATTTTTATATTATATTATTATTACATATATTAATATATATATACGTTTTTATACATTATTCTTGTCCTGAAATAAACCTACTGGAAAAAAGTAATGTCGCAATTGACTTCTTAAATATATATTAAATATATATACATATATGTATTATATGTTTTATATATTTGTATTCGTAAATTATTGATTATTCGTGATTATTGGAACACTTCGAAGCTCCTTCATTGGTTCTCTGACTAGCTTCATTCTGCATAAGCTCATCAGATTCTTAGTCGTTGTCATGCACGTAATCCACGTGTTCCGTATCATCACATGAAGGTCGCAAAATGTTGTGCAATATGCAACAAACAAGGAACCAATTTGAACAAAAATTATGACTCGTATCATTCTGAATACGGATTTTTAACTCCTTAAGACTTCCAAAGCGTTCCTTCAGAAGTCCAAAACAATGTTCAATCCTTAAACGAAATCTGCTATGGCGTAAGTTAAAAGTTTTACGTTTGGAGTAGTCAAGCTGTTGGGAGTTTGACCGAAACGGAGTTATAAGAGTTTTAAGTAATGGATAAACAGAATCTAAGTAATGGATAAACCTGCTAACCATCATTCTAAAGAAAATAAAGAATTTTCTTGGATGCAGAGAGCGCTTGTACGAAACATGCGAATATCATGTGCACTTCCAAAGTGAAAAACTGCGACATGTCGAATCTTCAGCTGATAGTCACATACGACTTGTGCTTTTATTGAATACACTCTATTTTTTCAAAAATAGGATGTATGGTTAACCACTGGTGCTTCGGCAAGTTTTATTTCAGTACTGTCAATATCCAATGCAATGTGGAAGGTCATGACAGGTTTTCTCCAATTTACCTTGTCGTTCAGCTACATCTGGCCACGTTATAAATTTGGTTTGTAGTTCCAATATGGAGCGAAAGACTTTTCGGGTAATCTTATAAATTGTTTCCATATCTCCAACATCAAATAATGTAGCGACTTTACGAATAGCCGCATTTTCGCCTGATGAACCCAAACGATATAAAACAATAGCAAGTTGAAGATCGAGCGGGAATTGTTGAATTGAATGTGAATTAGTGAACTCCGCGCTAGTGTTTATTAGTAAGAATATTAAGAAAAATTTGTTCCAATTTACTCTAAGCATCTGACGAAAACGGTCTTCATCAAATTCTTGAAGAATGGTAGATCTCCATTGAATAGATTTTGGTACGGGTTGGTGATTTCCGTGATGGTTTACTAAAGTAAACAAAAGGTCTTCATTTAATTGCTCCATCACTTCCCAGTAATTCGCATCATCTAACAAATAGAAACTACACAGTAGTGAAAACTACATTATCAACATGTTAATATCTTCAATCAGAATATTTAAAGCACTATTTTCAATAAAAAAATATACACATTTTTGTATTTCACTTGTTCGCGGCATTGTTATACTTTTATTTTTCTTTGCTCAATTTGATACGGCTGCAAAAACAGCTGATTCATTTTGATGATGCAATTCTGCAACAAAGGTTTTCTCGCAGTCTTGCAGTTTTTGTATAGCATTCTTGCATTTCGTGCTCCTTGCAATGAGTTTACAAGAGAGAGTGAATACCCCTATGTTTTTACTGTTATTGTTGGACGTAAGTTGCAAAAAACTTTTTTGTTGTCACTTAGTTTTATCTATGCAGAATCAAATAAAAAAATAATTGGAAAGATAACTGTTCATTTGACAAAAATATAAGCAACTGTGTTGATGCTTATTAGTTGTCAAAAGTATTTACACACATGTTTTTCGCGTCAAAAGTATTTACACAAAACGTTTGTTTCATTTTCTTCTTCTTAATTGATGAATTTTTTAAAAATCTTTTTATTTTTATTTAATTAATATAATTAATATTTGGTTACACCTTTGGCATCAATAACTGCCCGCAACCTAACTGGAATTGATGCAATCAAGTACATACATGCATTACTATATATGTACATAATATGTATAGAAATATAATAAAAATTAACGTTCAAAATAAAAGTTAATTTTCTTGAAAAAACAAAACCGACTTTAAACTAATTAGTTGCTTTTATATAAATAATTTCTAAAATAATATCAGTTATTAAAAGCTTATATGACATAATACCCATGAATGACTCAAAAATTAATGCACCGTATTTGTGCTGAGTATAAGTATTAGTAAGCATTATGTATATAAAAAAAGTGCGAGCATTACGCATAAATCTTATAGAGTAGAAATCTGAAAACAAATTGAATTAGTAGTGCTGTGTGGTTTTATTTTTCTACATCAATCTACATATGTCCTGCAGAAACGTGTGAACATATAAATTTTAATTTTGTTTTAAATTTCTTTCTATATACTCCACATCTATAATTTTTTATTTCATACCAATTATATATTGTTTTTCAGCACCAATTTTGAATTAAGAAAATTATTTTATTTTATGGCCATAGCCATATGTATGTGTGTATTGTATCTATTTTATAAACTCATAATAATAATGTATGTAATTATTTATTATTATTCATTATGACAATCAGTAGCGAGGCGTCAGCTTTTTGGCAAATTGTTCACAATTTAATCAAAACAGAATTCCAACTATAACGTAGTTATTCCCCCTACTCCTGAGTTTTGTCCTTTCCACAAGCAAATAGCATACAATACTAACAAAATAATTTATTTAAATATTCGCAGCCTGTGATCCACTGGTTTTTATGGTAAATAGCTGTAGGAAAACGGCGACTTACCACAGATTTCGACATTTTTACATCAGGTACCAAATTCTTCATATTTGGAGTTGGTCTATTCATTTTATAAATTAAAAGCTTTTTTTCAGAAGATCGTTTAAAAAAAGATATTTGAATAAAATCTTTAATCACACATTTATCCATTTCTAAATATTATTTTTCATTTCAAATTTCTTTAATTTTTTTCTTTATTTTTACCATTTGCTAGTATAAAATTGCAATAATGACTTTGTTTTTGGTTTATTTCCAACCTCTACATAAGAGTAAGAAACTCTCATGCATTCATTTACTCTTTTATTTTGTATTTACTATGCACGGTTCAGTTTTTTTACTGAACCATTTGCCAATATAAAACGGCAACCGTGACTTTGATTGTATTTGCACGCTTTGTATGAACTTGCGGTTCAATTTAGTCGACTG